TGTATTCACAAGAGGAAAAGTGCAGAAAGTTCAAGCATTTGAGCTCTGTGTGAGAGAATTCCTTTCTGCCAGAGTTGCCTGGAATGTCAATCGTCACAGCTGCACAGCAAAGTCAAGAAACTGACAGGTGTAAATATAACACTGGCAACATCTCACTGTTAACATCCATAGACGTTCTGTGGGACAAAAACTCATGCAACAGCTAATATTTTCTATTTTGTTTTTAATTGTTCAGCCCTTCCAGTGGAAAATGAGAGTGTAGATCAGGTAATATGATTCATAGTCTTAAAAACTTTTCCAAATGGGGATTCTTAAATGGCTTAACACAGTGCTTAAGAAAACTGCAGTTGAAAACTCTACGGATCAATTTATCTCAAGAGCGATCTGCCTTATCAAGACTGCCTAAATTATGGTAAAATGTATACAACAATTTTTTTTTACATCCAAACTCTGATAAGATCTCAGTTATGCTTACATTGGCTGTTTTTATCACCCCTGGAACTGTGCTACTTTGACTATTGATAGTTTTGAAAGTAGTTCTTCCAGACTCTGGTCCGGAAGTCTGGTATCACATTTGATCTGAGTCATTTGAAGCTCATGTTTAGCGCTGTGAATTTTTAAAAAAATCTGTAACATTAAAGACATGAATTAATGTCAATATGTTCTGAACTCAGTTACTCATATTTTACTAAAACAAGCACCATCAAAGTATACGTCTTTGCACTGGCTCCCTGTTGATATAAGAATAAAATTTAAAATATTATGCTTCCACACTGCATCAGTGAAATGTTATTTCCCAGTTAACCCATGGTATACATCTATACATCATTATTTGCTCATTGTGGACTTTGGACAACTTTCAGTTCCCAAAACAAAGCTCTGAATTGTGGGGTTGTGGAATAACCTTCCATGTTATATACTGTGTTGCCAGTCAGTCAGAACTGTCTTAAAACATATTTATTAGCTTTTGACTCTGTTTAATGTATTGAATTAAATTATGTTTTTCTAATGGTTATGTTATGGCTTCTGTGTTATTATGAAGTGCCTCAGACGTTGTGCAGTTGAAAGATGTTATGTAGAATAAAGATGGTGAGGAAGATTAAAAGCATTGTTTTAAGTGCTCGGCTCAGTTAGGTTCTGTTTCTCTTTCTTTGGCTAAAGCTGATATTTCACAGGGAGAATAACATAATTTAATATAGTTTTTGAAGGCCATCTCCTACTACAAAAAACCCTAGTAAACACTGGTTGGCATTATATACCCAAGGCATAACAATCAGGATTTTAAGTGCAGTTAGTGTTTCACAAAAATTGAAGACATATCATAGCATTGCTATTCAAATCTACAGTACATGTTATGTTTTGCTCACACAAGGCTACACAATAAATCTATTGACCCCAGCTTTATGGCTTGTGCAAACCCTGTCATTTATCCGTCTGCAACTCTTTAATGCAGCACAGACCCATAAGAGAGGAAATCAATGTCATCTATACCTTTGAATTCCTATTATCTCACTTCAGTCATGTAATACTGATACAGAACAGAATCTCTGTGATATTTAAATTTTCAAACGTTGATAAAATCGTAAGATCTTTAGATGTATCATTTTCTTTTAATCAGCCAATAATACTCACCAAAGTAAGATGCTGAGTTACCAGAGCTGGGAAGTAAGAATGATAAATAACAGGTTACTTTTTTTAAAAGGCTATTGAGCATTTTAAATTGTTTGCCACAGATTTTTTGCACTAGGGGAATCATCAAAGTATTTTTATTAGCTGTACCTGCTTTGTTTAATGACATCATGGAATCTCACAGTTTTGAGCTTTTGTTTCACATTCAATGGAGAGAACTGCACAGTAGTAGACAGGAAAAGATGGGAGGCATCTAAAAATAACTGTTTATTAAACGAAAGATTGCCCTGTCACTGCAAGCACGGTATGCAAACGCCATCACAACAGAACTCCTCTCCATGGCAACCAGACAACATAAATTGAAGACCTGTTGTGCTAATAGAGTTACTGCTGAAAACCAGTCAGTGTTTGCTCGCTTTGATTGCGGCTAAACAAACTTTCCCCCATCCCCTTTCCACCAGCAGAGAAGGAGTCTCTTGGTTGGGAGAGCCCTCTTTCATACACCCAGGAATTGTCCCTTTCAGCCAAGTGGCCTTGTAAACACAGTTACAACACAGGGCTTAAGAGAACCACTGTAAAAAAGGGCAATTTTCATGTAAAGTAAAAAGGTGTTTTCTGAGAATCTTTTATAAAATGCAAATATGCTAGTGTTGAAAAGTTGCTACTTAGAGTCAAACAACCATTAAAAAAGACCTAAATATTTCAAAATGCAGATCTCCCTTTGCATACTATATATGCATCCCATTAATTTAGCATCTTTAAAACACAAAGCAGTGGCACAATTTGTATCCAGTTATGGAACATTTAATAAGATAAATCAAATGTGAGCAGCATTTGATAATTAACTGAAGTCTCCACAATGGTTTTGTCATTCACACAAAAAAAAGACATTTAGTCATTGTGTGGCATTTGGTTATTAAAGGAACAAGTCATAGGTTTATTCCATGCTGAAAAAAAGAAGAAAGAAGACACAACGTTTCGGCCGTGGAGCCTTCCTCAGTTTTGAAGCCTACCTTTGCAGCCTACGCATGCTGATGCAGCTACCCACCTGAACTACTTTGGTTAGTAAAGTACACTATAATAAGTAATGGAATGTAGGAACATCTCTTTGACTTTGTTAACTAAATAAGTTAAACATGAATAAAAAGAAACTTATTTCAAGTATGGCATATTTCGACTATTGTGTTTTTCACAAGGTCTGCCTAAATTTGTAGGTCTGGTAACGGGACACAGTGCTGACTGTACACAATATATAATAATCAAGAAGACGAATTTCCCCCTCCTTCATATAAAGCAGATAGATCTGCTATGAATAATAATGAAAAAAACTTGTTAAAACTGCTGAATTGCTGAAACACATTACAGTGTGCAGTTTTTTTAAAGAGATTAAAAGGACATGACTTGTTCAAATTTTTTTTTACTAACTTAAACAATTTTCAACAGTTGCTACATCACCTCTACATCCCAATTAAAAGAACGTTTTTGTTTCTTGTCTTTTTATTTCTTTAAAAAATGTAGCCTGCACATCATGAACATTTAAAATGATTGATACTTTTGGTCATTTCAAACATGTTTTATGCTAGGAGGATTTTTTTTAAAGATATGTTGACAAAAACAAAATTGATCATTGCTAAACTTGGCAAGCCAATGTCTAAAAATGAAATGCAAGTCAATGCCAGGCTGATATTTAGCAATATTATATATCATTTCATAAAAGTTAAGATTTTTTTTTTTGCAGAGTTAGATTAAGTATTTAGAAAATAACATCACATGGTGTAAAACAATCACCCAAGGGTTTCAAATCCCAATCATCTAAAGTTCGAGTGCAATTCTAATCAATTGAATATTTCAGACCATGAAACTACAGTATACCTCATTGATTTATAGCAATAAATACAAGAATATCTACATACAGCATGACTACACTGCATTGGCCTGAAAGGAAACGCTCGTAAAATCCGATCGATCAAAAGTGAGAAAAAAGTTAAATATTTGTCAAAAATGAAATCTGAACATTGTGCATCCATTCTCTTTTGATGGAGGTATTTCTCAATAAACATTTTATTTAGTAAAGTATTTCTTGCAATAAAACCAGTGGAAGACTGTGGGACCTGTTTTTCTTGCAAACCCATAGCTAGGGTTAGGCTTAGGATTTGACAAAACATACAACGTTTTGGATTGCATGGCTGTGTTTAAGGACAGAAATTAAAGTTAGGAAAAGTGATATTTCAATGTTATCTTCACTTTTTGGTTCTTACTTAAAGTATATAATATTTATATCGATAATCAATTATGATTTCAGAATTTCTTAGTAGTATCTGAGTCCTCCAAGTTAAATGTTTTTTGGGGGGAACAGTGCTGGGTTTAACCATTGTTTAATCAATATAATCAATTCGTATTATCCTTACATTATATATTTTATCTCAAAGCACATCTAATTAACCTCATCTAGCAAAATCGTGTGATAATGCTATTTTAATTATAATACTAAGTTGTTTCTAAATAAACCTTTTCTTATCAGGTGCCATTCTACTCTTCCTGTCAGAATGTGACTTGTGAATCTTTGTGGTGAACTCACAATGTGAAGCACAACGGCAGAGTTTTATTACTGCTTCTAAACCAGAGAAAATTTGAAGAATTTGAAGGTCACACACCTTCACACCATCCTGTTTAAACAAAATAACTTAATTGTATTATCTCTTTAAGAGTATTTTTGGTCATTTCAAATACACGATTTAAAACAGTCGGTGCCGTATTGAATGGGTATTTATTAGCAGGAAATGATGATAATTAATGATAACTAAGTTTTTCTTCTTTTGAATAGTCATAACAACAAATCATGACAAAAACAAACTTCCCCTCAATTGGTCAATGAAGGCGAACTGTGTCCTCCAATGGACAACAGAGACTTCTTCGAGGTACATTAAGACGTTTCCAAACACATAAAGATGAATCAAAAGTGATTAATCATTTTCTTATTAAAAGGCTGGCTAGAATATTTAAGTAGGCTGACCTATACATTCAATACAATGACATCAAACTGTAGAGCTACTACCACTGCGGGGAGCAGAAATTAGTTTGATTATTACAAACAGGACCTTATGTCATACACTTCTATTATACAAAAACCTTTATCTCGTGACCCTTTATATTTTGACATTGTGTCTGACTTACATTGTATATGAATAGTATATACAATAGGATTCTTCAATATGTCTAAATTTTCATTTTGTATCATTAATTATATTTGAACAACATCGAATAAGGAACCTACCTAAATTGGATACATGAGTATCAAAATTGTGTTCTTCTTTGTAAGCGTCATTTCGTTATTTTGACTTCCTTCTTGTAGTACAGGATATCGTCAAACGTCCTATCTGACTTTCACTCCTAACAATTTCAGAGCATTGAAGATTTCACAGACAAAACTGAATTGAAATTCTTTGGTTATACAACTGCACTGAGCATATTGTATGCTGGTAAGTTTATCTGGATTGATATGGATATTTTCATATGTTTGTCTTTAATTGTGTTCTTGGCATACTTCATGTAAACTTTAAAATTACAGTTCATATGCATTAAAAGGGAAAGAAAGAAGAAGCAAATGTAAGATCAAGTAAGGGGAGACCAAAATGTTTAGAACAGGGTTCGGTGCCTTTAGTAATATAAATAAAAAAAACAGTAAAAAGAAAAAAGCCAAAAAGGATGTGATTGATCAAATATTTGTGGTTTATATTTTGTTTATACACAGGCATCTCATTTTTTTAAAAAAAGAATATGCTGTCTTTTAAAAAATGGAGAAGCCTTGATATTTAGTATAAATAAATAAGAATATAATAAATAAAAGTATTTCCCAGAAACAAAAAAGAAATACTGATAACAAGCCATCATGATGTCAGGTTCAACTTTCATTATTATTTTTCTAGCACCACAGAAGAGCAAGAAAAAGTGGGGGAATTTGTCCAATTTTTATTTTAATTTTGTTTGTACAGCTTTTCATTAACTCACAAGATGTTCCACTAGTGACTTCTTGCTATACTTTGAAGCTTAAGATCTGCAAGTGGCATGTCACTCAAGGATGCTACCATTTCCAGTTTGAGATATATTGGACAGATACAAACCTAGAGGTACTGTAGTGACTTTCCAAATAAGCAACAGTAGTTTATGTAGTTTGTGGTTAATATGTACAAAGCAACAGTGAATTTAGCATTGTATTTTTTTTTATATTTCTTTTAGATTACAAAAATGGATGACCCTGCAGATTATACTGATGGTTATACTGATGACTATCCCCTACCAGAAATGCCTGGTACAAATATTCCAATTGTAGATTCAGTAGCACCCGAACCCTTGAAAATAATAAATATATTCTTGCAGACAATAACCTGCGTACTGGGATTGTGCGGCAATGGTTTAGTGATCTGGATTACCGGCTTCAAGATGAAGAGAACAGTCAACACCACTTGGTTCCTCGGCTTGGCCATCGCTGACTTTGTGTTCTGTGTCTTCCTTCCATTCACCATCGTGAATGTAGCCAGAGACAAGGACTGGCTCTTCGACATTCACATGTGCAGGGCGCTCTCCTTCATCCTGTTGCTCAACATGTATGTCAGCGTCTTCCTCCTGACCGTCATCAGTGTGGACCGCTGTGCGACGGTCGCCTTCCCCGTCTGGTCTCAGAACCACCGAACCGTGAGAGTGGCGTCCTTCGTGGTGCTGGTTGCGTGGGTTTCCTCTACTGTTCTGAGCCTCCCTTCGCTTCTTTTCCGGGATATTCAGCCCCTTCACAAGAAAGTACTGTGCATATACAACTACAAGAACAGCTTGGGGCTCCCGGCTCATGAAATGGTTGTGTTCATGAGGTTCATTGTCGGTTTCCTTATTCCTTTCATGCTGATAGTTCTCTGCTACAGTATCATCGCCTGGAAGTTAAAGAGGAGGAATCTTGCCAAATCCTCCAGACCTCTCAAAATCATGGTGAGCATTATTGTGGCTTTTTTTATCTGCTGGGTGCCTTTTCATGGGGTACATATCCTCGAGATGTATTTTTGCGATGAAAGGCCCGTAACTTGCACGATTCTTGTTTCTGTTGCCTTTAATGTGGCCTCGGCCAACAGTTTTTTAAACCCTATTCTGTATGTTTTCATGGGCTCAGAATTCCAAGGTATACTCAGGCAGTCTATTTTCTTTCGGCTAAAGAAAGCACTGGCTGAGGATTCACAAATCACTGCAAGGAGCTCCATGTAAAAATCTTAGAACAGTGAACCATTGTAAAGGACAAACAGTGTGCAAAGACTGTATCCAGCAATTAAGTAAACTGTCAGTATTTTCTTCAAACGATTTTTACATTTGTATAAATAAAATGATATTCAGTATGGTAAGGTAGCTTATCAGGGATTTTCTGTTGTGTACCATATTACCTGATTATAATATAAAAACATATATCTGTTTCTGTTCTCCTATTTTTTACATGTGTCTTCCTTCCTTATACTGTACTTTTGTTGATCTTGGAGAGGTCAACCGACAGTATGATGTGACATGGTCTATGCCTCTCAGGAGTTTGAATACACAATTCAAATCCCTGGGTAAACTTTTCTGTTTCAGGACAAATCATTCTATTCCCTTCAACTGTCTGAATGTGGAATTCCCTCGGTTCTGGTTGGTTTGTTTTGTAGTACTTTTGGAGCAACAATCCAGAACACAACATTCCAAATTTAGACCAATTTTGCATCATTTTACCAAATTTGCCTTGATTTGATTTTTACCATTCTTAACTACAGTATGTATTTCTCATACAGTATATGACTTTTTCTACTTCAGTGCCACTCGTTTGATATTTAAGAGGTTTGTATCAGGAGCTGTTTCAGCATAGAGAGGCTACAAAGGAAAATTCAACAATTTTCCTTCACACTGGAGAGTGCCAACAGCCATATTGCCTTGCAACTGAAAACTGGCAACCCTCTGAAGCTATGGCCATGAGCCTGGTCAGTACCTGGGTGAGAGAATTATGGTCGCTGCTGGAAGAGGTGTTAGCGGGGCCAGTAGGGGGTGTTTACTCTGCAATCTGTGTGGGTTTGCCCCATTATAGTGACAGGGAGACCATACTGTAAAAAATGTTCCGTCCTTCGGATGAGATGTAAAACTGAGGTCCTGACTCTCTGTGGTCTTTAAAAATCCCAGGGCAATTCTTGAAAAGAGTAGGGGTGTTACCCTGACATCAGGCCAAATTTCCCATTCACGGCCCCCTAATAATCCCCATCTATGAATTGGCTTAATCTGTTCTCGTCCCCACTGATACCTGATGTGTTGTAAGCGTTCTGTTGCATCATCTAGGTGGGGGTACACACTGGTGGTGGTGGAGGTGAGTCCCCACTTTGAGTGGAGTGTCCAGAAAAGTGTCTGTTATATGTTGTAAGTGAAAGATATTTTTATTATTTTATTATTATTATTATTAGATTAAATGATTAGATGTTCACATTAAATGATAACATTTGTGATATTTTTCCAGGATGAAAACCTTTTTGTCGCAAAAATGTTAAAACGTTTTACTAAGACAAAATGTGTATAGATCTGTCCCCATGTTGCTAAACTCACCTATTTTTGTCTGTTACTTATGGATTTATTCTCTAAGAATTTAACTGTTACTTTGCTGATATTAAATAGGGCACACATGTGTAACAGGAGCCGGTCCAGGCGAAGCGCAGTTCAGGACCCTATGCAGTCGGTATAATCCGGAAGTAAGTGGAGAAGGATGACGAGAATCAGGAGGGGTTGACAGACAGACAGGGGGGTGTGATGACAGTGATCCGGTGCTCGGGGGGCGTGGCGCAGGCAAACAAGTCCAAGGAGTCCAGGGGGGAAGTTCGAGGCGAAGTCCAAGGTCCAAAAGTGGGTGATCCATCTGTGACAAAACACACGGGGACAAAAAAAAAAACAAACGGGACGGGATCCGGTACAGGGACAGGAAATAAAAACAGGATGACGAGACCAGACGTTCCGAGCCCCGGACTCAGATGGTCAGGATGCCGCGACGAAGCCGGTGCCGTCGTGTCGCTCCTGGACCCGCTGGTAGGCGGGCTCCCGGACGTCCATCTCCCAGTGCTGAGCCCAGAATAGCGAGAACGCCAGGCTTAAATAAGGAGGGGCAGGACTGGGTGCATGTAATGAGGTAATATAGAAGAGCCGGAGCGCCCTTAAGAGGAGGGATTACCATCGTGACACGTGCGATACATGTGATAAACTGCCAGGCTGTGTTCTTATCATATCTTATTATATATATTAGGATAAATTATATTCTAACAGAAGAAAAAATTAGAACACATGAAATGTGAAGTTAGTATCTTTTGGGCATTTAAACAAGATACTTTTTGCGTTTTAAATTAGTTAATTCTGGATCCCAAACGTGAGAGGGGGATTACTGAACATAATTACTGTGTATTATATTGCACTGGATTCTGCAGTCCAAGATCACATCTAGCCTCTAGGTCGATTCTTAATCTCTGTGTACAATAATGTATTTGAAGGAAATCTATTTGTGCCATCTTAGTTACTGTGTTAATTGCAATTAAAATACTTGTAATGGTTATTAAATGTTTGTACTGTGCACACAGTTGATAAAGAGCCATTTATTTTTTAAAATAAATTGTTTGAAAAGCCTGTTTTGATCACTTTCTAGTAACCTCTCATTTTTTGAGTCTGTGTTCTCTATCATTTTATTTCATTCTTTTCCAATATTTATAGCTATGTTTGGAAATACGAATACAATGAGACTATCCCATACAGGATTGCAAGAGGAAGTGGACTTTTTCCCACCTGAAGGTGAAGATCTGTCTGGAGAAAGCCAAACGCTTACGTTTTCTCATCCCTGAACTTTGTTACAGACAGAAACAGAAGTTCGGGTGGAGGTAAAATTCAAATCTTGCACTTGTGCATCCCTGTGCATAAAAGCTCATTGGCCGAACACAGCTCTGCATGCAACACCCTTGTACCCCTCCCTCCACCCCAACATCACCATTGCAGCAGGTCTCCCTGGCTCATTCCTCGTAAGTGAGAAAGGATTGGACCAGCTGATTTCTCATCAACACTGTCATTTCCACAGACAGGTGAGTTAAATACAAAGCTATCCCCTTATTTTCAGCAGCTCATTTCACCATTATTAGAATTTGACCAAACAACTGAAATCCCGTTAAAGGCCAACAGTGCAATTCCTCGGGAATTGTGCTATGTTTCTAGTTCATTTTAGCATTCTAAACTTATAAGCTTTTATTTGTTAATAATTAGGTGTGCAGAATAGGGATAGTGCTCCAGAAATATAACAAGATGTTTGTTTGCTCAAATCTCAGATGGAGGCCTGCTCTTGTAACCTGAAGCAAGATACCTCCCTCAGATAGCTCCACTGCAATCTGTGCTGTCCAAACGAGTATCTTCCAGGTTGTCATTGTAAAAAGGAATTGGCCTGAACTGCCATGGTTCTGGTTACATGTGCCCACATGTTAAATGTGAAATGAGGAAATGTTACATTGAGATATTTATATGGGACTTCCAATGGCTGTGACTGTCAAATTCATGGAGGCAAGGAGGGGCTAAGAGTGCCATCACTTAATTATTGAACTATTAATTAAATATTTTCCAACTTAGAATACTCAATCGGTACATGCAATGCACAGGAAGTAAAAGAAGTGTGGTAAGCACAAATTCCTTGGGTCGCACATCCTTATCAGAGTCAGACATATGTTGACACTGTGCGTGAAAGATATCTTGCTTAGCAACAAACCACAAAAGCACACAAACCCCAGATCAATTTTTCTAAGAAGCAGGATTCCAAATAGGATGGAATGCAAGATACTCTTACAATTAGGATACATTAAACTATGTAATCAAGGGGACACTAACTGCTGAAATCAGGGACTTCTCTGAACTGCAGCCCTTGAGAACCGGGGACCAGTTTCATAAGTCAAATTTCCCGTTCGTATTTCACTTGCATGAAGTAGCTGACCAGTGTTATGTCTGGGTGAGCCAGAGCTGGCAGATCTCGGTCTCCTTGGAAACTGTAAGCATCTGCATGAAGGCGCTCGGGGCTGTCTGGACTTAATTGGGCCAATTGTCCCAGCTGTCTTCCCGCTATTAAGGGGAGCTAATCCCATGCTTTGCCACTGATCCAGTGCTCTGTCATTGAGTGACATTCCGACCTGGGTAGTATTCACAGCGTCTCAGAAGGACACCTAGCCTGAATCCTGCTCAAGAGATTCTCCGTCTGTCTCCAACATGGTCTTTCCACCTGCACCCTGTCACTCTGAGCCGGGCACTGGACTGGCAGCTTGTTTTCCGAACCTCCTGCCCGCAAACCTCGAGGTGGCGCGGCCACCCTGCCTGCCTGGATCTGTCTTGATAGCCGCGCTCGCCTTCTTTCACTGCTCGGTCCTGTCTGCTACCACTCTCCGTCCTGTCCCAGCAACCTCCCTCAGCCTCTGCCTTCTGTCCTGCTCCGACTATCCCCTTCACCACTTGTCTGTCTCCGAGCTGTCACTGGGCTCTAACAATTGGATTTTCGTCCTGTCAGCAGGACACGGTTTTCTCCATCTGCTTGCTCCATCATATCTCTCAACAAGGCAGAATCCAGATTTAATAATTAAGAGAATGGCTTCACAGGCCCACTGGGTCAGTGAGTGACACTTGTCCTGTTCACTTACCTACTGTATATTAGCGTTAGATACTCTAAAATTAGTGATAAGTAGGGACTGCAAACCTCCTGCAAAGCGTTTTTTCCAAACATCCCATTATTATATCCAGCTGCTCCCATTGGATTGACTCTATTCTGCTTCCTTTTCCTGTTTCATTATTTTTGTCTCTTGAAATACAATATTTGTGCATACAGTATACAAGTGATCGAAAGTCAAGCTCAAAAACTACAGTATACAACCTGTGATCACTATTCATGTTCATTTTTTTAGAGAAACAACATCCAGCATTTCTGAACCTCAGCTAAGAACTGGAAAATTCCATAGCATAATGCTTTGTAAAACATAAACTTTCACAAATAAAAAAAAACGTGATGTCTTCACACTTTTATGTTTAAAAAACTCTTCTGACAAGCTTCAGCATGTTTAGATAAGTATTCTACAGCCATGCTGTTCCCCCAGAACAGATATTCTGGATCAAAAAAGTCCTAATGTCAACAACAGGGAAAAAATGTGCTCCCTTAATTTTGTCGTTATTTTATAAAGTTTTGTAAGATACTAAGATGCAAATTAATGTGAGCAATAATGAGGTCAAGGTATTGTCAACCATTTAACGCCATTTTTTCTTTGCCTTCTTTCTTTGCTGGTATTATCAACATGGAGATTCACTTTCTGTGGATTTCATACTTTCAGTTTCGTTCTGAGCAGAATAATCTAATCGTCCCAATTGTAGGTGGGGAATACTGAGAAAAAGAGAATGCTGTCCACATTCCAGCTCAGTTAAAGCCAAAAACCATGTTTAGATTAGATTAAGTGCTAGTGTAGGATTTAAAGAGAAGGGACAACTTAATTTCTTCAAATTTCATCTGCACTTTGTTTCTTTTTAACATATTTCCTAGTTCAAGAGATTCCGAAAGGATATCTTCATACAATCTGTGATTGCTTTTTTGTGCAATCAGAGCCTTTTTTTCTTTCGAAGGAAAAATCTATACACTTTCTCACATAGTTTTTTTTTATCCCAGTGGAAACTGAAGACGGGGCAATTGAGCAATTAAAAAAACCAGTGCCAACCAGTGTTTAATACAGATTTAAACACATATTTTTATGTGATTTTGTCAGGTAAGATAAGACTTTTTTTTTATTAATGGTGAACGCAGCAACAAACAGTTGCAGCAGGATAAAGGAAAAGTTAAGCATTATACTTTTTAACGTTTGTGCGCAACACAAAACTTATTTCTTTCAGTCATTTATTTTGTGCAATTCAGCCATTTCTAACATTTTTATGCTTATTGATTCTTTGATTATAACAAGGCAAATTTAAATTACATTGGTGATGTACTGGTGTCACAAACCGCACGCAGGCACAGTTGCATTCCCACGAGCAGCCGATCGCTCACCTTGTTTGTTTAAACTTCCACTCGTGCTTGAGGTTTTCTCAGCCTGAGCTACTATACGCATCCGGTTAGTGTCTTACTCCGACTTCTAGTTCGTGCCTGTGACCCTCTCAATTTCTGACCCACTAACCTTGCTCTACCGCACGATTTAGTTACGTTCGCCCTGGAATGAAGTTTTAACTCTTAGACTCTGCACGCGGTCTTTTCCCCTACCTTTCCCCTCGGAATACGTGATAGTAAGCAATTTGCGTAATAGCCCTTTGTTGCCAAGATGTGAGAAAGCTGCAAAAGATGATTGTTAAAAAAATGACATGAGCCATTCTGATACATTGCACCCTTTTAACAAAAGATGAATGTCTCTGCTGTTTGCGAATCCTGGTAATTTAGGTTAACTTTTACTAGCTGTTTTGCATCTATTGATTTTAAGATCACTTTATTGGTCATACTGTATACACTTCCTTGTATTAGGAATTTGTTTTTGTTTTTTTGCATACTCCAACTTGCTCTCCATGAGATGCACAGACAGGGAGAGAAGCTTGGGGTCAGAGTGCAGGGTCAGCCATTTATATGGTGCCCTTGGAGCAGTTGGGGTTAAGGGCCTTGCTCATGGGCCCAACGGAGTAGGATTTCTCTGCCGGCTGCAGGATTTGAACCTGCAACCTTCTAGCCACAGGTGCAGATCCTGAGCCACAGAGCCACCGCCCCGCCCGATTTTTGGATTATATAAGTCCATTGAAGTGGGTAGCACCTTAGAGCCTTGCAGCACTGGGGCCCTGGGTTCAATTCCAGACCTGGGGTGCTGTGTTCCAACTGATGTCTGTCTGGAATTAAGCACAGCACCCTACAGAGTATAATAGTAGCAATGCCTTTGATACAATGCAGTTACTATTTCTGTCTCTGGCTGATACATCATTAATACTTGCTGAGACAGTGGCAAGAGAGCAACAGTTTTTTAACAAGTTAAGAGCAGAGCTGAAGAGAGCATTTCTCATCAACAGAATGTTTAAAGTAAAACCTTTCTAAAACAAATGGTAAAACAGATGTTCAATCTCAATATTTAATAGCCCTAAGTGGTAAAATGGCCCAGTTACCACTTACTGTAGGACAAAAGCTAGAAGACTGCAGTTGGACAGTAGGAAGACATACAATATTTGCCATTCGCAGTGAAAACAAGAAGGCATACAGTATGCAGTGTGTATGTCCTCATAGAATATTTAATTTAAATACTTAATATTTTGTCCTACAGATCTCTGTCCCTGTCACCATAATGGGGCCTTGGGCATTAGAATGTTTTAATGTGTACCACATTTGTACATGAGTATTTGTAGCTGATAGTTTTCATTTTTATGTATTTTTTTTCATGTGCCCTGTTTTCTGAGGTGTTTTATAGCTTGTACTATGTCTGATTTATGTTTTTACACAGACAAAGGAAATTGTCTATGATGACTTTACCACCATTACCTTACGACTATGATTATATCTCCAATGACAGTGAAACAAACAATAATCCATTCATTGACAACAGTCTTCCAGGAGAACTTAATGTAACGGAGAAGAAGGTACCTCTGAAGTATATGTACGCAGTCCTATACTCCATGGTCTTCCTGCTAGGAGTGTCTCTGAACATCTTAGTCATCTGTATGACATGCAAGATGAAGAAAACAACCAGTACCATCTGGTTCCTTGGCTTGGCTGTCACAGACTTCATATTCTGCCTCTTTTTGCCCTTTGCCATCATCTATGCACTATACGACTTCAATTGGGTCTTTGGGCTCATCATGTGCAAGCTGAATTCCTACGTCATGTTCATCAGCATGTTCTCCACTGCCTTGATTCTGACCTTGCTCAGCATTGACCGGTGCTTCTCAGCCATAGCTGATGGCTGTGTTCGAAAATGCTGCACAGCTCTGACAGCCACCAATATGGTCTGGGCCACGTGGTTTGCCTCTGCAATATTAAGCACTCCATCGCTGGCGCTACGTGACATTGCCAATAAATCTGGGAAAACAGTCTGTTATGACAACTATGGGTCTGGATTCTTGAACATCAACACCGTGGAAGGTGAAATTAGAGTTAAAACTGTTATTGCCACCAGATTTATTTTTGGTATAGTACTTCCTTTATTTATTATTTGTTTAGGCTCCTGTTTGGTATCATTCCCGAAGAACAGCTATAGGTTCAAGTCCTCCCGAACTTATCGAATTGTCCGTGTGATGATCTTCCTGTACTTCTTGTGCTGGGCACCCTATCACGTGTTCATGCTCATGGCTCTCAATGCTCCAACGTACATGCACAAAATATTTGCTTACGGGTTGCCCATTACTACAGTGCTGGCAGTAGCAAACAGCTGCATCAATCCAATCGTCTACATCTTCATGGGTGGCGACCTCAAGATGTCTTGGATGGAGGATGCGTTTTTCACAGGGGTGCAGGATAGCGGAGAAGAAAAAAGTGCAGAAGAAATGAAACCCTTAAAGAAAAATGACACTGAGGCACAGAAGTGATTCTGACTGATCCTTTTTACATTGCTAACTTGCGTTCAGCATATTACAGATAAACATGAATTCATCCTAAATATTTTCTAATATATAAAGGAGAGTGTTACTGGAGAAATCTAAATATTTCACCTCCTTTTTCAATTACTACAAGTCAGCCGGTAATTTTAAGATATAGAATTAAAGGTGAATTTTAAGTTTTCTTGTTGGTTTTCTTCAGAAGCTTTGCTTATAAAACAACCAGCAAGAAACTTTTTTGACAGGTAATGTAGTAATAGATTTAAAAATGAGGATGTTTTTTTCTCTGATTATCACTAAAAAGAAATGGCAAGCCGTGAATGTAGAATTGTAGTAAAGCTGGAGAAAATTTTGAAAACAATGTATGTTTTGTATGACTAATGTAATAACTGAGGCAGTGCTAGGCTATTTTCTAATCATCATTAATATGCATGTAATGTAATTAATCATGTAATCAATATTTAAATCACATGGAACAAAATCTTTAAAAACATAAAATCAAAAACTCAAAACAAATTCTTAAGTATATTATATAAAGTGTTTCAGTATATAGTCAATCACATCTCAATCTAATCAAATCGAACTGAATCGTTGCTGTGTAATTAATGGGTTTGAAATCTGCTGCATGTATTTCTACAAAAGTTGTGTACACAAGAAAAATGTGCGTTCTCACAAATAACAGTAAGACTTAGGCAGAGCTTGTCCATTTCCACTAAACTGTTAATCACAAATGTATGTTACTGTATGTGCTTTTATTAACATCCTTTTTATCGAATGGAAAATGAATCTATCAACTAAAAGATGAATCACAGAAATTCTGGAATAAAATAATTATTAAATGCTAGACCACAAGCAACCAAAACAACCTTTAGCATTCAAATATCAGCTTTTTTTCTGATTATTGTTTTTCTCTAAAAAACCCGAAAAGTCATGCACCAAAATCATCATTCCAATTTGATTAACAGATTTGAATGGATTTATATAGTACTCACAAAGAGATTTACACTTGTGGCCTTCTGGTCTAAAAGGGTAAAAAAAGAAGCAAATTGTACCCCCTTATGTGTTTTTAATAATTATAACAATGATTTAAAAAAACTGAATGGTGGGCTCTAAATTTTCAAAGTGATACAATCATTTTCCTTTAATTGAGTAATAAAGGGAACAATTATTTGTACTGTGATTGCAACATTGTAATAAAATATATCACATTTTTATTGTATAACTTCTTTGTTTACTATTAAATACCATATTTTGTTTACATTTTCTCTAATAAAATTTGGGTCCTATGAACTTCAATGTCTTTGTTGTTGAATGATAGCTGCCTTTAAATTCTTAGCAATATTTAACTAAATGTATAAATATTTTTAAAATACATTTTAAAAAGAAAATAAATTTAAAGGGAACAGATTATGGGGAGTAGTTTCTAAGCAGAGCTGAGTCTCTTTCAAATCTTACCCAAACAACAGGGAAAAAAAACATCAATTTTCTAACCACTTATTCCAATTCAGGGTTGTGGGGGAGTCAGAGCCTATCCTGGCAGGCAAAGGGCACAAGGCAGGATACACCCTGGATCGGACACCAGGGCCAGTTTTCCCAGAGAAAACCCAGGAGTCAACAATGCGAACAACTGCACCACCATGCCAACTAAGTAAAAAGATGCACAACCTAAAAATATACTGATGGAAAAAAGAAACGCAACACCTCCTCCTCCACACTGTGGCCCTTCCATCTGCGTGGAACAGGCTGAAGAGTGACTCATCCGTGAAGTGGACCTGATGCCACTGCTGACGAGTCCATCGCAGCCTCTGTCTGGCCCAAGCCAGTCGGGTGTGACGTTGAGGAGGTGTGAGCAGAGGGCCTCTGACAGGTCGCCTTGCTCTAAGGCCAGCAGCATTAAACCTCACTGTCCTGTCACTGATGTGGGCATTGTGTCTTCCGGCAGTTTCAGCAGCAGTACAGGTGGAAGATCTGAAATGATCTCTTAGATGGACTAGTCTGATGCGTTGGTCCTGCTCTTGTGTGGTCACTCGAGGGCAACTGCATCTTGGATGGTCATCTGTCCTGCCAGTCTGCTGAAACTTTCTCTGCAGTCTGGACACAGCGGAGTGTCTGGCAACGCTGGCACATGACATGCCTGCCTGCAGCATGCCAATGGCCCTCTCCCTTTCTTCTGGTGACATTCGAGGAATTATGGAATGCACAGAAAACTGAGTGGCTTTTTTCTTGCAAAGACCTCAGCTTGGAATTAAGGCCTTTTTAAAGGTGACCTGATCAGGCATTGTTCCACCTGGACCTCGTTGGGTAAAAGTTTACCTAACGAGCTTTCGTGTGATTGGCAAGTTGCAATGCCTCACAGCACAAGCTGTATTGCTGGTCAGAGGGCTTGAAACAAATTGAAAACTTTTTGTGAAAGTACACAAGCTATAAATATAGTATTCTATTTCCAGAAAATGTTGCGTTTTTTCCCATCAGTATAGTAGAGTAGAGTATATAGAGACATGTTGTATTTAACTTTGTTTGCTGACGATGACGTCAGACTTCAGTATGAAGATGTGAAGGGTTAAGCATGTGAACCCGACATGAAGATACTGGCAAAATTCCCAGAAACATACCAGGAAATGGCTGTTTGTGATACCGGTTGTGACTTCTACTAGTGACAAGAAAAGATTTACGATACCTAAAAAGGACAACTTGGCATTTGAATTTTGTGATAAAAGATTGTACAAAAACTGCAGAAAACAATGTTTCAGAGCTAGACCTTGACAGACCTTGATAGTTGTCTGGGCATCTCCTGACTGAAGAGTCATGGGTTCAAATACTAGGTGGGACGCTACTGTTGTACCCCTGAGCAAGGTACTGTACCTGACTCTCCCTGCTACAGTAAATCCCAGCTGTATCCCAAATCCCCAATATATAATGTTGATGACAACAGTAGTATTTTGTTCGCAGAACGTAATGTTGTCCTGAGTGCATTTCTAACACTGCATGGGAAGGTTGGCTTGTTCTTTAATTTTGTGTGAACTACCTTAAAGTTGTCAAAAAATGTTATTTTTGGGAATGAACAGATGGGTTACAGTTGCACTTTGTGAGTCACGAACTACCAAAGAAGGAAGTTTCCAGAACATTCTCTGTTTACGCTGAAATGTGGCCATATTACTGTCTTGGATGTCTGAGTGAATTGTGAAGGGAACTATCTTAGCGGAGCTCCAGGATGGATTGACAACATTTTCAGATATTTTTTAAATAATAAAAGTTTTTATATGTCAACAGCTGCCATCCTACTGCAAAAGAATAGAGTTTTTCACTACATCCAATGTACAGAGTACAAGATGTATTCAAATGATAATACAGTACTTATATGGTGCACTTGAAAACACTGGTATATTCTCTCCTGATTCTCTTGGTAATGCTGTATGTTTGAATAACCTCCTAACACATAGGAGAACTACATATAATAAGTATGTAGTTCACCATTGTACTGTATGTATTGTGACATGTAACAAATTATTTGACAAAAGTATTTTGTCACATTTTGCACCAAACATTCCTATTTAATTATTGCCTTCATGTAAGTATCAATATGGAAACTCAATGTCATTGTACTCGAAAAATTAAAGAATTCTTCCAGCCCATAGCAACTAGGCAATTCAGACTTGAGAAGTGATTAATTATGATTCCTTTAATGGTATCTGTTACCCGTTGTCCCTGTGGATTGTTCTATGTAGGCAAAAACGCAAGGGAACTTAAAAATGTAAAGATCGGACCATTCCTGAACCATATCATTTTTTATAAAGAGATCTGTATAGTACTGATCTCTTTTTCTATTTGAAATTGTGACACAAAATAAAAGGCGAAGAGGTATTGATATCTTTCTTAAATCTTGAGAAACATATTGGATTTAACTGGATTTACTGGAACCTTGATGCCTCTGGGTTTCAGTTTTAAATTAGATTTTATTACAGCATCTGTTTTTAACAACTGATCCTTGTGTATTACGCTTCTTTTTTTTATTTATTATTTATTTAAAATAAGTAAATACGTTTTCAGTCTTATAGTTATCTTTTCGCTTACACCAGTTGATTTATCTGTATCCTGTCTGGGGTGATTCAATTGTGTAAATGTTTACTAATAAACAGTTGCTATAGCAATTTTGTAAATTCATGATGAGCTTTTTATTAAAATAGATTTATATTTATAATTATGATATCTAATATTTTTGTGCTTGTTTTATTGTACAGTGCCCAATTGAATTTTTGATAGATTGATAATTAATAGTTCTCTGTCGCAAGTCTGTCATCTGAGTGACTGATCCCTTTTTTAAAAAAACACCCGCTTCTCCGGTCTGATGAAGGTTGGACACATCGGTTGAAATCATAGATGTTTTTTACACAATCTGTTTTGATTTAAACAACGTTTGGAAATCTAAAGAGAGTGTGGCCCTCGGCCTCCTCTGTGACTATTCTGTTTTTAAAAGCTCCTCAACTGTATTGTTGTTGATTTAATGCCTTCATGGGTTTTTTTTGCTGCCCATATTAAGAAATAAAGCTTTTATACTCGTAATATATGTCATTAGATTCGCAAAATTACATACAGCATTTAAAAGAGAGGCAATTACAAAGCAATATATCTCGTCCAAGAGATTGGGACAATTCTGTTTTTTTTTTTTTAATTTACAGCTTTACAAAATTCATTATCCACCACCTCCTAATTGTGCTGTCAGCAGAATGACAGCAGCAGCAAAAAATTGCTCCAGCTTGTCTTACAGATGGCAACAGTTTTACAGGATAAACTGTAAAATGTAAAATGTGAAACCGAAGAAGCTATCAGTAAAGTGCTGAAATGTGCTGGCATAATTCTGAATAATTTATTAATTATAATGTATTTATTAATAATAACAGGTTTATGCATTCGACATGTTGCAACTTGAAGGTAACAATTGGTAAATTCTTTTTTTCTTCTTTACCTGAAATGCACAGTATACTGTACAGTTCAATTACTTATCTCTCTGTCTTCATATGTGTCACGCCCTCTGTAGCCAGAGGGCGCTCCTTCTCTGTCCTGTCTCTTGTTTCTGGTGCTTTCCTGTCCTTCCAGTGTCTCTCTCTCTGGGGCTATATATTTCTCGCTCAGCATTCTGTCATTCGGATGTCCTGAGACCCACCTAGCACCAGGTCACCCCATGTCCGCTGCCTGAGGGCATTGGTTTTAAAACCTAAACCTAAGAGTTTAGGTTTTAAACCTAAACTCTTTGCACTAATGAGCCCGGGCTAATTAGTGCTATATATTTAAAAAGTAAATTAAAGCTATGTGTTCAGAATACACGTCACCTGCACAGCATCTTCAATTTTTGTAACTTTCTTTTCTTACATGGCTTTAAATTTTTTAAAAAAAGTTTTGGAGCATTGGAGTTATCTTTCTAGGCGTTATTCCCTAATATGTCAATGGCCTTATTAAGCCACATTTAACTTAAGTGGTGATACTACTGTAGCTTAACAGCTATGACACCCAAGCAACACTGGAGGGAGTAAAGAACACAGCACCCAGAATGGGGTCTTGGTTTTGGAGAAGTCAAACAATAGGTGGAGATTGTGGCTTAAAGTTATTGACCAAAGGCGATGCTTACACGGAAGTATGGTTTTGGTCATATTCTGTACACTAGTGCAATGTTGCCTGTGATCAGTCAGATGAGACTGGAGACTTGAGCATTTGCCTTTTGCTGTCAATTACAATCTTAAGGTAAGTTTTAACTTCTTACCTTTCTCTTTGTATCATCCCACTCTCCCTTCAGAAATGTAAATGTATGAAATCTAAACATATTTATGTCCATACAAAATGGATCAAATTCTGGAAAAATAGATATAAGCTTGTTTATAGGACAGTTTCATGAAATTGTAATATTATAAAAAGGTGATTCATTTTCGCTATTATTTATGACATGACAGCGCTTTTATGATGTGACAGTCTAACAAGAAATAAGACAAATGAATTAAATTAGATAAATGCTAATTGCAAATCTAGTATTTTTCATATTACATCTTACAAATTCTTTTGAAATGGTGATTCATTCTGAATTGACATTTAAAATCAGTTTAATCTCCAAGTGTGAGGATGTTTATTCACATGTACATCGCCACACTTGGAGTGAGTCCATAAAACCTGGCAATTATTATAATGGAAGAAGTTTGGTGAAATATCTGGCTTGGGATCCTGAAGGGAATTTCTTTCACATGAAAACAAAAACCTTTTTATGTCTTTCAGCAGCATTGTTGTATTTTAAAATTGATATTTTTCATTAAACATAAACGTGAGCAAGAAATAAATTGATTACACCAAATTATTTTCAAAAACCTATTAAAACATTTTATTAATTTCTGGCCATTCATGTTTTCCTATACACTTTAAAAATATATATATTACATGATTGTTGAGAATGTTATTTAAAATTTCAGAAAATAAGTTTCATTCAGTTCACATACTGTACATCCAGATTTTTTAATTAATCAAACAGTATATATTCGGCTGATGTGTTTACGATGTCTTACATTTGCACCCATTTATACAGTTGAGTACAAGATTTTAGCAGAACAATTCTGATGAAGTACCTTACTCATGGATAAAACCGCAGTGTCTCATCTGGGGATTGATTCGAATTTAATTTAATTTCTTTAGCAATAAATCTAGAGCACTTCTCCATGGTGCTACTTTGCTGTTGTAGAAGTAGAATCAGAATAGAATTAAAGCATTTTACATTGGAAAGATTAAAGGAAAAGCCTTTGTCCTCCACTGCAATCATATTTAAAACTTTTTTGATGCAGTGATTGAAATATCTTTTCCGTCTTGGCCATACCAACCAGAATTCGTCTATAGTATTTCTGATATGTAAAATGTCAAGCAGCTGAATAACATGAAGAATCTTTCCTAAAGTTCAATTACAATACTACTGCGTGTATTGTAGGAGCTTGTGAATCCCTGTGAAAGGATGCAGACAACATGGTCATTGTAATCATGGTCTTCTTTATGGTTTCCTCAATGTAAATGGCAGATCCCTCTCTACAGCAAACGCAGTAAAAAAAAGAACAAGCACAATGCCCTTCAGGTGACTAGAGGGGACATGTACAGTATATGTGTCCTGCTGCAAATAGAGCAGAGAAGATCAAAGATCTCTCCAAGCCCAGAGCTGCCCATTTTATCTCTGCTGACACAGGCTTTCAAAGACTCCAAAACCAGAAACACGTTAGAAGCCAAATTTATCCGTAAGCTTGGTTCAGTCATTTTCCAAGCACTCAGTGACCAACATTTCTCTTTCTACACTCTCCATTTATTTAAATATTGACTCCTTCCCCACATTTCCTGGAATTCATGTGCCAGATTTCCATTTCTTTAGACCCCTTTTCACCTCCCTTACCTGTTCTCACTCCCTTCTTCGGCCTTTCCTACCCCACTCCTCGGCTTCAGATGTTTTCTCTCTTCCTCTCTCCCCTACACATCCAAATAGGCTCCACAGCAGAAATGTTGTGTTTTTCTACTTACAGTACTTTTCAACGTGTGATCGGGGATCCATAACCATCTACAGTAGCTATATATTATACACATAATGGACACATTATTCACACTTTTAGGATATTTTATCTTTAATTTTGGCAATATTGAGATGACTGGTATATGTAATACATGTGTAATGCACGCACGTGCCCTGTTATGGACTTGCAAAGGGAGTTGTCCAGGGTTTGGCATTCAATGCTCTTACCATTAGAACTCATTATGCGTTTTTGTTTCATTGTCTTGTTTTCACAGAGAAAGAAGAAAAATTGTATTTTATTCTTGCAAGAATGGACCAAACCTATGACTATGACTACAATATTTCTAGTAGTGATAAGAGTTCTTATTATAACAGCACAGAAAAGACTTACTCAAAACCATATACTATGCAACAACCATCTGTAATGAATATCATGATCATTGTGATAAATTCCATAATTTTCATCCTGGGAGTGATTGGAAATGGTATAGTGATCTGTATAACTGGTTTCAAGATGAAGAGGACCATTAACACCACTTGGTTCCTCAGCTTGGCAGTCTCTGATTTCTTATTCTGTGTTTTTCTTCCGTTCAGTATTGTTCAAATGGCCAGTGACCAACATTGGCACTTTGGAAAGTTTATGTGCAAGTTCACCTCCTTCATAATGTTCCTGAACATGTTCAGCAGCATCTTCCTCCTGGTCATCATCAGCATTGACCGAAGTGTGTCAGTTTTCTACCCAGTATGGTCCCAAAATTACCGCACCACACGATTTGCTACTGTAGTGGTCCTCATTGCCTGGATTATCTCTGCTTTATTGAGCACACCCTCACTGATCTTCCGAGACACTGCAGTCAAATCTGAGAAGACACATTGTTTTAACAAATATGGCTCTGGTATGTCTAAAAAAAATCTTCATAGAGTGGTTGCTTTAACAAGATTCGTTTTTGGATTTGTCATTCCTTTTATTGTCATAGCCTTCTGCTACTCCATTATCATTATAAAACTGAAGAAAAACCGAATGGCAAAATCCTTGAAACCATTCAAGATCATGACTGCCATCATAGTGACTTTCTTTCTCTGCTGGTTACCCTATCACATTTTTATCATCCTGGAGATAAACCACTATAATTACAGCCCTGATATTTTCCTGAAGTGGATGAGTATGGCAGTTTCCCTTGCCTTTGCTAACAGCTGCCTCAATCCTATCCTTTATGTGTTCATGGGCAAAGACTTCAAGGAGAAGTTCAAGGTCTCCTTTCTGTCGAAAATCGAAAATGCTCTGAGTGAAGATGCGCGCACCACAACCAGACGGATTTCAAGGACAAGTTCAGCATTTGAAAAAGGTTCAACGCTTGTTTAAGACATGTGACTAACCTAGGAGTTGTAGCTCCTGCAGTACCTGTGAAACAGTGGGAGATCATTAATATATATGAAATAATAATTACGGTAAAAAAAAGTAACATGGGCATGTTGTACACATTATGCATTCATGGCTTTTGTTTAAAATGGAAATGTTAACAAAATACAGGATTTTACTGACATGATACTAAGCTATTGGTTCTCAGACAACAGTCACATCAGAAAGAATCACTCTGCTTCAAGGGCTCAATAAGTATCGGAAATTATACTAATCTGTAAATGGTAAACATAAGTGTTCATACAGTATACAGGAAATCTCACATGATAAGAGCAGAGATACCAAAGCTTTCACAAAGGGTGGTAAACCCTACTAAAAAACAGCAAAACTTCACATTTCAACCAATGATATGGGGGAGGGAGAGGAGGTGTGAAACTGGAACACAAAAATTACTGTTGGACAGTTAAACATTAGAACTCTCTAAAATGTTCCCAGAGTACATATTCTGCATGAAAGGTGAGGATCTTGTGAATGACAATACAAGTACAGGTGTTCATGTTTCTTCTAGAAAAGTAAGACACTCATCAGCACAAATTAGTCTCGATGGGTGGAAGAATTCAGAAAGCTCGTCTGAGAAGAAAAAGTAAAACATAAGAATGTATTCAAATGACATCTGCACGAAAACTAAAGGGGATGTTCAGTGAAATATCTTCAGCATGTTTCTTCCTCATAAAAGTATTGTAACGCATACTGCCATCAGGGTGTGTAAGAGCCGGCTTACCAGAGAAGGTGACATAACCGCCCTTCCCTGTGATACCAGGACTGCAGCTACTGGCCTGTGGAGAGATCTCTCTTTAGCTCACCGGGCTGGGTCCCTGTTGAGTGACGCGGGAGTCCCGGGTTCGAGCCCTCGACGGTGGGGGGCCGACCTAATGCGGCAAGGGCTCCCGCCTGAACCCCCGTTGCGTTATAGTATTATAACATTTTTTGACCTGCAATATCATTTATAACATCTAAAGAAAGGCTCCAAAGACAAAAAATGGTGTTTTGTCTTGCATCTTTTACTTTTACTTTTACATTTAAAGATATGTACAAAAAACAGCCAAGACATATATTTCAGTATTGGCTTTTGTGGAGTTACTTTCCATGTTTGTTTTCATATTCCTGAGGTACTTCTGTAGTGTTATGGTATTGATTGAAGACTATCATGAATGAGGTTTTCCGTCTTCTGATAATCTAGATATCAGTATGTCAAGGACTACAGTAGTTCTATACCAGTGATAATTACCCTTGTATCTGCAGCCATAGTTTATTTTTGATCTACCCCCACCTCCTAATGACTTACAGTACTACTGTTTCCAGGACTTCGGCCTTACCTTTGAACAATACAGGACTGTGGTAGTTTATTGCTTATACTGTAATACTGCAGTGCAATATCAAAGGTCATCTGTATTGCAAAATTTAATTCTCAAAAACAAAGATTAAATGAGAAGTGAAAACAGCTGTAGTTTCCTAATTAATATATATGGACCTATAATGCATTATGTTAAAAAGGCTCAATTATTCAATGTGTTTATGCTTAAGTCAATACTGTGAAGTACTGAGTGTGCGTTCATGGTTAATATTTTAAGTTCTTTGATTTTATAAAGCACTTTAAACACGCTAATATCATAAATGTTAATGTTAATAAATCTTAAGTTACAGAACCAGTATGTTATTGGAACTGTGTGCAATTTTATTTACTTTTAACAAGTATGTTGTGCTGTAACAATGATGTTTTTGTGAGTTTAATGAATAAGATATGACCTACGTAATATTTTCATACATTAAAAGTATGTCGTTGTAATCATTTTTGTTCTCTGGACTGCTTATCATCTTATAAAATAGTTTCATAATATTATATTATTATCATACTGTAACACCCTGCAATAATTAGCTTAATGGCGTTCCGTAAAGGAGTAATGTTGATACAAATTACAATAGGTTAAAAATTTCTTCTGCCCAGTGGAATACCAGAAGCTTGTTGATTTTACACACATTTTCTGTAAACAAAACCTGTACTGGTTTTCGTGGTGGTTCACGAGACAGTAAATATGATAAAGTTCTGTCATATTTGTTTGTGCAGAATAAATAAGCTTTTTGGAATGTGTCAGATTCTTCTCAAATAAACATCGCTTCGGCAACTATCTATTTAATCTAAACTAAACTATCTGTGCAGGCACTCCTATTACGCCAGGGACTCTTGTCACAGGTCTGAAGATTAATTTCCTCTAAACCTTGAAAGTCCTCTGAACTTCTTTAAAAACTTAATTTAGTTAAAACAATGCAGCACGTGCATCCCAACATTATTGCTTCACTCTGACTTCCTAAATAATCATATGATTACCATTTAGTTATCTTTTCCGAAAGCATGACAGCTGCTGGATACATTGTGCAATGATTATGACGCCAGTGTATGTTTGCAAAATCTATGCACTGCGACAAATAAGTCAGACGGTTTTACAGTATCTCTCAAGATTGTTCGCCCATTCTACAGGTGTATTATCAAGATTGTGGGTGCTGCCTGGGCTCAAATCCCAGCACAGACTGCCTTCCCCTTCGTTGTCAGATATTGCAAGCACAGTATCAAGAGACAACTTAAACTGTAACATTCAAATTAAAACTGAACTAAATTTAAAAGTTAAAATCTAAAATTCAAGATGAAACAGGTTCAGTCATAGTGCTATGATGCTATTGCATTATTAAAAAGATTGATCTGTGTTACAGTATCACCACACATCGGAAAATGTGAGCTCTTTCTGTCCTCTGTGTACCCTTCAAAGTAGGTCAGGCTGGGCCAACAGGAACGTCAGTGAGTGAGTCTGCAGGACTTGATCAGTCTGAAGACATGCAGTCAAGTTAAATGTCAAATGTGAGTTTTGCAGCAACTAGTCACTCCTGTACAGATTATCACAAGATCCTTTCCATTGATTAGTCTGTTGCACACAATACTTTTACAGGACAAATTGATCTATCACTAAGGCTACCCGTGTTCCACTACTGAAACATACTGGCTGCATGAAGGTGTTGTTTTCTTGAGACACAATAAGGTACATTGGTTTCCTTTCTGTAATATTCATTTGTGATTTTCACCAGCTTTGGCCTTCACCTCATCATCTGTGCTCATCTTCTCACTAATAAGGTAGTTTATTGCTTATGCAACAAAGTCACTGAAGTGTTTCACAGTCGGCCATGATCAATTAATCAAAATGATGCCAAAACATTAATCAATTTCCAAAATCTGGTGTTCATTGTTCATTGTTATTTTTCTAGTATACATGTATAAAGTGATAAGCTTATCTTGATGCTTATTGTATGTTTTTTGCCTCGGACAAAGAAAAAATGCCCTGTTTTATTTTGGCAATAATGGGCAACTACTGTATGACAAAGAAAATTATTACTTTTTTCTAACTTCACACAGACCCAAAATGGGACTTTAAATTACTGGAATCTGTCTTCTGTGCACCTAACCTCCACATTTCACATACAAATGATCATTGTGATTTATGACATTGTCCTGGTATTGTCTGGGAATGATATAGAAAAAATTCTACTATACAAGATGAGAGAAATAATCAATATAAACAAGTTCTTCAGCTTGACTGTTTCTGTCTTTTTCATCTGTCTTGTTCCTTACACCATTACTGTGTCCTGTATATTGTTAATGATTTCCATTGGCACTTCAGTCTAATGTGCAAGTTGACCTCCTTTGTAATGTTTCTGAAAATGTTCAGCAGTGTCCTCCTACCACATCTCCACATAGAGCGAATGGTAAATACAGTGTTATAACTGGCTGGGCTGCTTGGTTTTCCAGGCACACCCTCATCGGAGCTCTCTGACACCACAGTCAGATAATAATAGTTTGCTTTACCAGCCACTACATGGTCGTGTCTACAGTAAACACAATCCCATGTCAAATTATCAACATAGAGAAATTTGTTTTAAGCATATTTATCTTTGGGTGTGCCATGCAGTTTGTTGTTATTGATTTGCACTACTCTGTTATCATTGTAAAACTGAATAAAAATCTGAGTAAAATCTTTCAATCCGTTCTGGATAATGATGGCAATCTTCTTGACTTTCGGTGTCTGTAGGTTATCTTATCTTCTCACACTTTTAGAATCCAGAGAGAAGCCAGGTTCTCAGTCCCTATTCTCATAAATGAAGCCATGGATTAATGTTTTACAAAATGGTGGAGGTTTCTTAATCCTGTTCTTTATGTGCTAATGTAATGTAGAAAAGCTTAGTGTTTAAAATACTAAAACTTTATAGGTACATTAACAATCATTCATAATAATATGAATAATTAAATAACAATTCAAGCAATAAATGAATGTTCCTCTGATAAGAAAGTGCAAATAATACAATATCAGTACTGTCTTCAGGAAAAGCACAAGAGTAAACAGATGTGAGATGTCTTCTTTATACTCTCTAACAGCAATAAAAATGAACCGGGAAAATTTCACAAGGTTTAAAAAAACAGATGAGATGTGTTTATCAACATATCTATTTTCCATAAACTAATGTGTATACGTCTTAGATAAAATTAAATGGCTACTGAATTGACTTCCTAGGGTTTTCACACTGTAAAAGCACATTACCACATTGCCGTCTTGGTACTTAACCTATCTGATAGGTTTTTTCACAGATGAAGTCCCATCACTGCTGAAATGATTTATTCTGCTGTTTTGCTTACTTGTACAACTTCCTATGCATTATAATCTTCCTCTCCAAGCATGACACATCAGTGTGATTCAAAGACACAAACATACAACTTCAGTTATTGCAAATACTGTATTGTAAAAGGAAATAGCTGTGCTTTACATTCTTTTGCCTTGCTTGACTAGTTGCCAGTTTTGTAGCAGCTAGTCTCTCCTGCCCAAATCATCACAAGATACAACAGTTTATTTTACTTTGTTGGCAGATCTGGCAACTGTCTATGCTGTAGTAGAGATGGAAAGCACCCGAAGAAGGCTCCACAGCAGAAACGCTGTGTTTCCTTTCTTCTCTTTTCAGCATGAAATAAACGTATTACTTGTTCCTTTGCAGCCTACGTATGCTGACGCGGCTACAGTACCTACTTGAACTACTTCATATAGATAGTTTGCCAATGGACAGAACTTCAAACAAAGATGTTAATTATCAATGTAAAAAGTTAACCCTTGTCATTAGAGGAATTGCATTCTATTTTCATCATCACTTGATATTACTGTACGGTATGTATAAGATAATATGAGGGGGTAGTGGAGTACCCAACAGGAAGAACAAAGACAGAGATGAAAGCTGCACTGCTTTACATACAGTTGACTGGTAGGCCTGGGCACATTGTTAACACATCAGTACAATTGTGAGGTTGACAAACTGGTTATCAAATTTGCAGTTTCAGATGTTACAATGCACACATTGCCAACATTTATTCCTCATCGCATCTGTCCTGGCACAGAGAGATCATGCCTAATTTTTCAGCAGTTGATATTGCTAATATTTTAATAGTTAGGATGGGCGCCTGCTTGAATTCTATTGGGCAGGCAAATCAAAGACCTACAGTAAAGAGAAAAAATGATGAGCTATGAAATTCAAGGTCCCGAGTTATATACAGCCAGATGTAAGTTTCATGTGATTTCCTTTGTTGTTAAGATGAATATATTCTTACAATTAGGAAATTCAAAACATTCAAGTCATTATTAGTGTTTCAATGTGTATCATACTGACAGGCATCAGACACTGCATTCGCAGCACTGTGTGAAATTACTGTCCCATCACTTTTACAGTCCCCAGACTATTTATAGTCCACATATTAAGTATTCAAGACAGTATTCACATCCTCCTCCACACACAGCACACATACACACAGTGTTCTGTCCCTGACCTAAT